ACCCTAGTTACAAAGGTAATTACATTAGTGTAAAACCCTAATTACCGTAACAAAGATAGCTAATTGTAATGTAGTTTAATGATCCAAAAATTTTCACATGCATACAAAATATACTCCAATTACTAGATAGCTAGTTGAACCATATATTGACGGTTTTTTTCTTTAATTAGTATTTTCTCCTATTCATAAAAAATTATTCATATTGTAAATTGTTAAATAATATACTATTTTGACGAGTTACAATTTTTAATTTTGTGAAAATAGAAAGTATTTTTGTAGCACAAACGGTTTACATTGTGATTCAGATGGTAGTGTTTGTCATCATTTATATGATTGTTGTACGTACTCGGTTGTTTCTTTGAAAAAATAATCAGAGATTCATAATGCATAAAATATCTTTCAAATCACTTCCTTTCAACGTTCTTTGGATATCCTTTTCAAAATATCTTCACGTGTATAATCTACTCACCATTTTGGTATAATCTATCTATAATAACCTCCATTATAGCAAAAACCATATTTTCTTAAAATCCCAAATGTCACACTCTCTTTAAAAGTTTCCTCACTCAAAACCTAAAAGATGCCCATTTAATTTATTTATCAAAGAAAAAAATATATACTGAAAAATCAAAACCCAAAAGATGTCCTTTTAATTTATTTAATTTATTTATCAAAGAAAAAAATAAACTGAAAAATCGAAACTATATGATGCTCATTTAATTTATTTAATTTATTTATCAAAGAAAAGAAAATAAACTGAAAAAAAAAACCAAAACTGTTCAAATGTATCTATGGCTTCCAAATTCCAACTAAACCGGGATTCTTCAGAAAACAGACTTCCAAACAGTTACCACGTTCTTTATCAAATATTTTTATTCCAAAAAAATAGCATTAAATTTTATACTCCCTCCGTCCCATAATTATTGTCCAGTTTTATTAAAATCAAAGATTTTATTTTTTGTCAAACTTAACTACATTTTACCTTAAACAACCGGATATACCCCTACATAAGTAATTGTTCAACCACTAAGATTTTATGGATAATGTTTTTTACTAAGGACAAATGTGGAACTTGATCCATAAAAAGTCAAATTGGACAATAATTTTGGGACAAATTTTTTTTGACAAAGTGGACAATAATTATGGGACGGAGGGAGTATTTAACTTTAATCCTATTCATGAAAGGCTTTTCAATTACCATTCCACGTTTCAAATAACTGCACATCCTCTGTCTCTCCACGGTGAATATCAAATTCTGAATTCATAAAGTATCGTCCGGATCATTCCAAAAAAAGATTTTCTCCCTATCACGCAATTAGATTGATATCATATCATTCTTCTTCTCCTGTAAAATTCAACATATCTTTGTATAAATTGTTACCGTTGATATCATCACTCTTGAAGTTCGATCGCAATAGGACTCTCAATATCACTAGAGATTCATGACAAGAGTTTCCTCGCACCATTAAATCGATGGCAAAGGCTGATTTCAACGTTAGCCGAGAGTGTAGTTCGAGGGTGCCGATTGGACTTCACTGGAGACAACATCAATTATTTAACTAATTCAGGTGCTTTTTATTATTAAAAAATTTGATTGATGCAAACTTTTTTTCCAATGAAATCATTACAAGAAAGAATTGGACGCTTCTTCAAAAATTATGTAAAAAGACCAATTTTGGAGTTACTTATGGCAACCGAGAAACTAACGGAATGAATGGTATGATTGCATTTTGGTTTACTTTGTTCTTTAGGATGATCGATAATGCTTGAGTATGAACCCAGTGAGATCTGTTTTTTTTTTTGTGTGTGTGTGAGTGTGTGTGTGTGTGGTTTAAGACGGCGCACTTTTTTATTTTGCATTAAAGATAACAATACAAGAATTAAGAGGGGTGATGATTCTGTCGGGACAAAATCTAGTATCCAGGATAAAATTTGAGTAAAAAGACATATTTACCTATCATAAAAAAATCAGCACTCATCGTCTTTTTTCACCTCACTATCGATCCTCAAACCCACGCCGCCGGGGTGCCGTTGCAAGAAAAAAAAGAAGTGCAGAATTTCTTATTTCTCATAGATACTTTTCCTATTCCCTCCGAGAAACAACATAACAACTTTTTTCCCTCTTCTCAATATTAAGTGTTTTAATCCAGTAGAAGTCAAGAATTGAGAAAATCATAATAAATTATTTGCAATCAGTAAAAATCAACCAAATTTCAAAGGGTTCACAAAAAACAAACAATTTGGAACGTAGAGATGCGGGTTTTTAAGAACACTCAAATAAAATTTTCTATCTTTATGTTTCCTTTGCAAAATTGGGATGTTTTTCCAAAACCAATGAGCTCTCCTTGTCTCTGTAGCCACCAATGCACAAAAAAAAAAAATTGGACGGGTTTTTTGTAAAATTTATTACGAATCCTAATTTTCATGTTCTTTGAGATCAGTTGAATAAATTCAGGTTGCTTTGCCTAGAGAATTGGATGTATTTTCATCGGCATAAGAAAAAGTAAGGGAGGTGACTGCCGCAACCGTGAGAGATGATGATAAGTATTAAGTACCCCATTTGAAGAGGGATAATCACTTGCCAATTAAGAGTAGAAGTAAAGTAATTTTTACAAGGAAGTGATATTGTCAAAGTTGATCCCAATTGATTAATGTTATTAATATAGGACTAAAAGCAAAATGCATATGATAACCCCTTAGGCCTCTGCAATAAATATGCATAATTTTTTATGTACTAATTTATTCTCACTGAATCTTGGTCATGATCATCTAAATTGTTCAAAAAATAATGAATTTTGTTGTAAGAATTTTTTTTTTTTCTGTGTTGGTGGGTCTTTTGCTGATACGGGTTGGTGGTTTTATTTGTTAATATTTTTTTATTTAGTTCCCTTTGTCTGCTCAACTCAAAAGCAACTATTCACTGTTTTTCTTATTTACTAGCCATTTCAATCTATTTCTATATGGTACTCAAGGCTTACGATGGGTGTAACTTTAACTGTGCACATATTTATAGTTGAAAAAAGATAAACAAGACTTTGTAACTTCTAATAAAGTCTCCAAATTTGATAAAACAATATAATATAAGCAATACTTTCATCTTTGCTCATTTGCTCTGTGTAAAGTTTTATATGGAAATAAAAATAAATTACTCTACTATATACCCGTGCGAATGCACGAGTCCAGAATCTAGTTCCATAGTTAAATGTAAGAAAAATGTTAGAGTCAAACTCTACAAAACATATTATACGAATATTGAAAAAACTAAAAAACAATAAAAAGAGCAAAACAAGTGATCAAAAAATTGCAAACCGAACAAATAAGGCACGACACTCAGAAATAATGCAAATTATATTCGTAAGGACCCATTGAAGGCGTACGATGGAGCGATCACTTTCGCCATCTGGCTTTGTAGGCTGTAGCTCATCATGAACCAAAATTTTCCTGAACGTTAATTGTTTTGTTAGTTTCTTGCTTTGATTGATTATCCATGCTTTAGCAAAATATCTTCTCTGGTACCATACAAAATATACGTCTTACATTTCCTATGACGCTAATTCAATATTTCACAGATTTTTTATTAGTTAGTACGCTATTATGATTCACGTAACATTGTATTAAGGTATTACTACTAATTATTAGTCATGAGAATTGTTTTCTTCTGAAAAAAGGACATGTACTTAGTGATGTCGGAGGGAATATAACACCAAAAAGTGTCTTAAAAGATTCAATTCGAAATTTATAAGTAATAATATAACTATTTCGTCCCAAAAAATTGTTTATTTTATTACATTATTCTAGTATGACGAAATAAACTATCTTTATGGAACAAAAGATGTATAAAATTATGTCATACATCTCATTCGCCTCATCTTATATCAATTGGCATTTCTGCTTGGAGTTCTCTATCTTTCACTACAACCTTTATTAATATTTCTTATTTTTTAAAATGATATTGTTATTTGTCGGATTATTAGTATATTTGACTATATAGTCATATACATTTTGATTGTAATCCCGTTGGGCTCGATATTGTTATAACTTACTAATCTATTTTCTTGTCTAATTGGAAGCATACATTTAGTGCATTTGTGTTGCAATGTAAGATGGTACAACCAAATGCATTTAGGAGGAGTGAGACAAAACATGCAGGGGATTCAAAACAAATTAAAATGATTTGTTTGCTACATTAAGGGCTTCATTTAACTGTCTGTGCCCCTGAATCGAACGTTGCATAAGTGTAGGATACTTCTACCGTAGACAAAATTATTACTTTCTAGTACCATTCATATCAAACTGTGACCAAAACACGGTATAGATAATACTCTTTGTTCCAAATTGGAATAATATCATAAAGTGTGTTGATTTGAAAGATTTAGACGCATTACCTTCATACAACAAGATAGGCATATCCTCAAAAGATCTTTTCTTCTAGCATGCAACGAACGTGTTACTTTGATGAGTTGCAAGTACCTCCTCCCTCCATTATGGTTTATACTGTAAACTTTATCGTTATACCCTCTTATAATTATACCTAAAAAAATATCTTCAAAATATCTTTTTCTCTTTAGCATGTACTAATAGATAAGGGACGCCCTCTCCCGAATCCTCCAGCTTCGCAATTCATATGTGTTGACCCCTTCTCTAGCAAGTAGCTAAGGCCAAGACTGTTTTCGTAACCCTAATGATTTCATGTAATACTTTTCCAAAAGTTCATATCTCAATCTCAATGCAATATTCCAAAATAGAAATCTACATCTGGCAAACATTTTTTTTTAATTATTTTCTTCGGTCAAATGAGCATATTTAACGTGCTTGGATTTGCAATTTATTTGCGGATAACCTACTAGACATTCATTTCGGGGATAAAAAAAGAATAATTGACTAAAGAATTAAAATTTAAACGCTCGATCAATAACAACATACATAATATAATCCTAATCAAGTTAGGGTCTGGGGGCCAATTGTACACATGTTTACCCTTGTAATTATACAAAGACTCTGTTTTCGTTGCAACCCAAAATACACTACGTCATTTGATATTGTTATTTCCAGCTACTTCACTAATAGAAGAGACATTGGAATTTAACTGGGCCATTGTAATCTAATCCACTATCTAGCACAGAGTTGTGCTAATTGTTCTCCCAATTCCAGTGTTTTATAAGTCAGAACAATTCCCTGGTGCTACTTTCGAGTTCGAAAATTCAGAAGAGACCTCTCTGTTTTTTTTTTCCTTTTTTGGGTTAAATGAAGGAGGGAAATGCCTAGTGTCTTAAACTAATACCGATCGTTGATAGAACACACCAACAACATCATGTTGTAACGATGGTTGAACCACAGGTGGCGAATCATTTAACCAAGACAGGCCTCCGGAACTAGCAGCTGCCAAGAATACAAAAGAGTCAGCAGCAAAATTCGACTCATGCTCTACATTTTACTCACTTTTACCATTCTACTCACTTTTGTAAGTTTGTGTTCATCCGTTATCATATTTGCAAAAAAGACATTCATGCATAGCAGACTTTATCGTTGTGAATTAAAGATTCGAACGGGATACTTTTGTATAAATAGCTTCAAAATAATTATTTAATTTAGATTTTTAATTTTAATTTAATTTATTTTTAAAAATAAAATTTTAATTGGACAATTATTTCGAGACAGAAGAGTAGATGGGTGCATAAGAATCCCTGTAATATCATGATTAAGTGGTTAAAACATTTGCTGGGGACTGCAATTTAGCAACACATTGCTAAACCCTAATTTGTTTAGGGTTTAGGGTTTAGGGTTTAGGGCTTGACAGTTGAGATGTTAATTGTCAAATTTTGTAAAATTCACCATTATGTAAATATGTTTTACAGTCGCATGCCAATCGCAAAAATTAAAAAAAAAGAAAAGAAAAAAAAAGCACCAAAGTGGACTGGGGATGAAGACTTGAAGTCTTGAACCCTTGAAGGAAGTATAACTGTATAACAGTAGTACGAATTCATTTCGATTAGGACACATTCTGTGGAAGAAATCAGCAGCTAGAAATGAAGGTTTCCCTGTTTTCAACTGTGGCTATCTGTTGTTTCTTCCTTCTATCAGCCAAATCAAGTTTGATTCTTCTTCCAGACAGTTTCATCCAATGCCTTTCTGAATATCAATTTTCATCACCAAATTCCTCTGTTCTGAGTGTAGTTTATGCCAGAACCAACACATCCTACCAATCCATTTTGGATTCAGCAATCCCAAATTACAGATTCTTGTCATCTTCCGCTCCAAAGCCCCTTGCAATTATCACTCCTCTGCTTTACTCCCATGTCCAAGCTACAGTCATATGTTCAAGAGAGAATCGACTCCAGATTCGAATCCGAAGTGGTGGTCATGATTTTGAAGGCCTTTCTTACAGATCCCAGGTCCCATTTATCATACTTGATCTCAGAAACCTGAGATCAATTAGAGTTGACATTGAAAACGAGACTGCCTGGGTTGAATCTGGCGCAACAATTGGTGAATTGTACTATGCCGTTGCTCAGGAAAGCCCTGTTCATGGATTTCCAGCTGGGACGGCTCCGGTTGTCGGCGTTGGCGGGCATTTCAGCGGTGGAGGAAATAGCTATCTGAACAGGAAACATGGGCTATCTGCTGATAACGTTGTCGATGCGATTGTCGTTGATTTTCGCGGCCGAATTCTAAACAAAGAATCAATGGGGAGTGATTTTTTCTGGGCTATTAGAGGAGGTGGAGGAGCAAGTTTTGGAGTCATACTTTCCTGGAAAATCAACCTCGTTCGCGTCCCGCCGGTAGTCACAGTTTTCAGATTAGCCAAGACATTCAAACAAAACGCCATTGGCCTTGTTCATAAATGGCAATACATTGCACCTCATTTGCCAGATGATCTCACCATTGCCGTAGCAATACAGAGATTTGGTCCCCTGAGTACTCCGACCGCAACATTCAACTCATTGTTCCTTGGAAGAACAGAGGAACTACTGAAAATGATGGAAGAAAGCTTCCCTGAGCTCGAATTGAGCAAACACGACTGCAAAGAGATGAGTTGGGTTGAATCAGCTCTTACTTTGTCAGAATATCCAGATCAATTTAGCATTGAAGTTATGAAGAACAGGTCATACAGCCCATTTGATGCTAATGTTAAGCTCAAGATAGACTTGGTTCAACAACCTCTGCCTTGTGTAGCTGTTCAACAGTTATGGAAATGGTGTTCAGAGGTAGAGTATCCAAGGCTGCAACTCCATCCTTACGGCGGAACCATGGGAAGGATATCGGAATCAAGAATCCCATTCCCACACAGAAAAGGTGTTCTGTTTGAAATCATGTACATTGAGTCCTGGTTCAATGATGAAGATGGGAAAGATTCAGAGAAATACATGAATCAAGTCAGAGGGTTATACGAGTTCATGACGCCGTATGTTCAAAGCAATCCAAGAGGGGGTTATGTGAATGGAATTGATCTTGATTTAGGCACAAATGGTAATGATCCTTGGGGAGCTTCATATTCTAAAGCCAAGGCTTCATGGGGTTCAATGTACTTCAAGAGTAATTTTGAGAAGCTAGCAATGGTTAAAGCCAAAGTTGATCCAACCAATTTTTTCTTCTATGAGCAGAGCATCCCGCCACTTCTTTTTTCTAGTCCTGAAAGTAGAAATTGCAGAAAAGGGAACTTTGCTTCTGTTTGACTTGTTAATTTACAAAATGTACATTTTTCTGGATTTGCGTATGCAAGACATGAACGAATAAACCATTTCCAGTTTTATCGTTTTCTTCTCCGATGGAATAACATTTTGCAAAGACAACAATGAAATTGTTTAGTAAGGCGTCAAGGCGCTGAAGAAGTTGTATAACTCTTTGTTATCGCTCATAAATGGTGACACTGTCTGAATATGAAGAAGCTAGAAACTAGCTAGCTGGCATAACTTCTAAGCTTGGTTGATGAAGCAAATGCTAACACATCAACAACAACCAAAAAGAAAATTCGAAAACATGCCTCCACAAGTTTTGCCGATAGCGATTTCCCAACTTCTAATGGATGCGCGCACATAGATGTGTATATATATAAACTAGTGCAAATTGTTGAAATCATAAAATCGTCTAATTAACTAATGGAAACGATGAATGTTGCATTTATGATAATGGTGATACTGGTTTTTGTGATGATGATTGTTAGTAAAGAAGGTAGTGATTGGCAGAGGACAAGGAAGAATGCCAAGACCAAATAATAGACTTATCTTCATGTCTTCCTTTTCTAAGTGAGCAGAGTAAGTTTCCATCTCCAATTTGTTGCATTCGTCTTGCAGACAAGTATGATAAGGAGAAGAGGAGATGTTTGTGTATGGCCGTGAGAGACAGAAATGAACCCTGTGGAACTTCTTATTCCAAAGCCAATTCAAGAACAATTTCAAGAAGCTGGCAATGGTTAAAAGGCAAAGTTGACTAAAATATAATGGGCAAATTGTTCAAAGTACTGTCAATCGGTGGTCAAAAGTTGTACAAAGTACTGTAAATCAGTGGACACAAAATATTAATTAATAATCTAACAAATGTGGCTTCTTCTAAAACAGTGAACACAATTTTAACCTAGCAAAAATGTATCTGCTGGAGGCATTGTCCTCTTCTTTTGGTGTGAGCATATTTACATGTTTTATATCGTTGACAACAATGACTAATTTTTCTCTTTAAATTGTACTAACTTTTTGAATCCCCAATTTATAGTTTAGAGTGGACAAGTCTTTACTTCTTACCACTTTTTTTTTTTTTTATAAATATTGAGAAAGCTTTCGCTTTGAATCCACAGTGCTCCACTTCGAAGGAGAGGCGGGCAATTAAAAGATAGTTTGTCTAAAGCTATGCTAAGGGGAGCTGGCAAAATGTGCAATTCAGGTTCACCGACAAGCCTAGTTTTGTCAAAGAGTCCGTTACTTCGTTCCCCTCCCGTTCTATAAACAAAATATCCACCTGCCAATGTAATTTGAGCAGGAATTTGATTCTAAGCAAAACATTACTAGTTATGCAGGGGGAGTCATCCGCCTCTCTTATGTCCCTGACTGCATTGGAGGTATATAGTCATCCGCCTCTCTTACCACTCTGACCTACCCCTTTAGTTATTTACAGTACTTCTAGAAAATCTTCATCTTCTTACAAAAGATGTCGCTAACTACGATTACTCCCAAAAAACAAAACAAAATGATTACTGATTTAGGATCAGGCCCATTAAAGATATAAGTAAAAAAGGATCGGACCAATGAAGCTTATCTCAATTCTTAATTTTAAAAAGGCCTATACAAAGTAAAACATAGAGTCCAATGAGAAATACATCCGAGGGCCCATTCTTCCACGCAACAGAAGAAGAGTGTTGGAGTTTGGAAGTGCAGGTGAGGCAGAAAATAGAAATCCAGATCACTTCGCGTAAGAAGAAAGAAGGATTCCGAACGAGTCGAACAAACGCGATTTGAGAAGGAATTAAATTTACTGTAAGAGGAGATATCCTTCGAGTTCATCGCATATATTGTCAAAAGAAAGAATCAGCAAATCAGTTATGGCTGCCAACTTTTGGACTTCATCTCACTGGTAAATCAAGTGTAACCAATGGGGGATTTAATGTATTTTCCTTCGTTTCCATAACTTTTGTGTTTTGATTTGTGAATCTGTGTGTCTCTTTAGCAAACATTTACTGGACCCAGAAGAGGTTGATATTGTGCTTCCAATTGACAAGGAAAGAGGCATTAGTGTCGAAGATTTTAAGCTGATTAAGCTGCACATGGCTAATTGTAAGCCTTTACTTCTCTGCGAGTGTGCTTTGATCTTTTTGCTTCTACTTTTGGAAGAAAAGGGTTTCTTTTTTTTGGCCGTAATTCCAAATTGTTGGAATGCATTAATGTTAATCAGCTCTGTTGTGAGCATTTTTTTTTTTCCTTCTCGGATAGTTGGTTCTTTTCCATTTGTCTTTTGAAAAATTATTTGAGCATACAAATTATTTGAGCATAATTTTACCACGAATTTTTGTATTTAGTTCATTTGGATTGATTCTTGCTTCTCTTTTCCCTTTCTTCAGATATTGCAAAATTAGCTCAACATGTTAAAGTCAGGCAAAGGTGAGGTTTGATTATTTTATCTTGCTACCTTTGGATGTATTCTGGTTTAGGAAAGTGTTTGTAGCACTGTCTAAATGCATCTTGCTTCAAGGCTATTTTATATTCTTCCTAGTTATTAATTTTTCTTTGTCTTTATATGTTTTGTTGTATTTTAGAGTTGTGGCTACAGCAATTACATACATGAGACGCGTTTATATCAGGTAAAATTTTGGCCGAATACCTTGTAATGCTCCGACATGGTTGGCTCAGTTCAACTTGTTAAAGTGTGTAAAATAGTTCCAGTTCCTTATTGTTGCATTTAGTTTGATTTCATTCAGTATCACCCTATCTTATTTTCCCTTCTTGTAGGAGACCCATGACTGAATATGATCCTCGTCTTGTTGCTCCAGCTTGCTTGTACCTAGCATCGAAAGCAGAAGAAAGCACTGTGCAGGCTAGACTTCTTGTGTTTTACATCAAGAAATTATGTAAGCAGCTGCCATTGATTCCTAAGATTAAACTTGTGGTCTTTCTTCTAGTTTAAATTTATCTCATGTACATGTGATCTCTTATACAGTTATACTTAACAAATTATGGACAATCAGACTAAAATTTGAAGACTTCCCCATCTGTCTTTGCAGATTCGGATGATAAGTACAGATATGAAATTAAAGATATACTTGAAATGGAGATGAAAGTTCTGGAAGCACTAGATTACTACTTAGTTGTATTTCATCCTTACCGGGCATTGCCTCAGTAAGTGTTTACTGCCCCATTACTGCAAGTCAATGTTTGATAACTTAGTCTATGTTCCGCCACCTGTGTGAAATATTTTTGTCTGTACTTTGATAACTATAACTTCTAAATCTTGTTTAACTTTTTGATCACCCCAAAACAATGTGAAATGTCGTAATGATTATCTACCAAGGCATTTCTTGTGCAACATTTTCTTTGTATTCTTTGCCGCTGTACTTCATGTCTGATAATGTTAATGACAGTTCCCTCACCCTTGCCTATTTACTTTTTTGGCAGGTTGCTGCAGGATGCTGGCATGAGTGATGCTACTCAATTAACTTGGTAACTAAATAATGGCTTTTTCTGATTAACGATTGAACATTTGCTTCTTAGTCATGATTTGGAGTTCATATAGGGTTCTTTGTTGTGCATTTAGAAGCTCTTAGTGTAACTTGCCATACATGCTTATCTGACCAAATGAATAGGCACGATTTATTGTTGGTGAACATTGAACATTTGTAGCGTGGTCTTTTTTTTTTCTTTTTTTTTTGGGGGGGGGGGGTGGTTTAAAACATGATCAGTGTTTGTGGCATGGTGATGGGGACAAGGAATGGTAGAATAACCCTATCAGTAGGTTCTTCCATATTTATGCCCAGGATTATCATGATCCAAGGGAGGAGCCAAAGTGTTAGGACTTTGGTTTAGTTAATCCTTTATTAAGCAGTAATTTAATTAGTTTATTTTAGTATTAGTATTTAGGAAAGGGTATTTTAGTATATTAGTTATGCTGCAGGATTTTCTTGGAATAAAAAGGAAATTAGGTGAGAATCCTAGTTGTCTTTGGTTTAGGTTAAGTTTTAGGCCTATATATATGTACCTCGTTTGAGGGTTTTGGACAGTTATCAGATTAATAAAATTCCTGCGAGCTTTTGCTTTCAACAACAGTTGTGTGACTCAACTAAACCCTTGGTGTGACGCCTAGGAATCCTGCAGTGTGATGCCAAAGGGCCCTAAGAGTGATTCTTAGGTTTTCTTCTTCTTTTCCTACCCTTATCTCTGTTTTCCTGCGATTTCTAAACTTGCTTTCCTATAGATTCTTTTAGTTTTCCGCTGCATGCTACTCTTAAATTAACCTACATCCTGATTTTCTTAACCACCACGTTTGGTGCTGCATCACGTGGTCTTTCTAAAAACATGATGAATGTTACCATTCTTTCTTTGTGTATTTTGTCTTCCATATTCATATGCGTTCATGTCCAAAATAAATTGTCAAGGTGGAATGCAAAATATTAGGTAATATGTTGGTTTGATATTTTGAACATAGCAGGGGAATTGTGAATGACACTTACAAAATGGATCTGATTCTCATACATCCTCCACACCTGATCGCCCTTGCCAGCATATACATTGCAAGTGTGCTCAAAGATAAAGAAAACACAGCCTGGTTTGAAGAGCTTCGAGTTGATATGAATGTGGTAAGTCCGCCAACTAATAAACTCACCTTCTGAATTCAATAAGAATCTGCAATGATAAGAGGACTCGCATTTCTATAAACTAAATGAAGAGAGTTAGTCACAATATTTCTCAATGTTGATGTTGATTAGAGCAGTGGGTTGCTAGTGTGGATGTAATAATTGCTTTTGGTACGAAGAGTAACCCCAACCCAACCCCCTACTTCTACTGTATCGCACCAAGGCACCTACTTTCTTTCTCAGTCGTCTAGAATAAAAATGAACAGGAAGTGGTTAGGAGTACGCATTATTCTCTGGATAATTTTTGAAAAATTAGATAAGATCAGGGTTTGTGCTTGCAGCATTAATGATGTGTCTTCTTTGTCTATGCTAGCAAGGCTTTGTATTTTCGTGTTATGCGAGATATGTTGCTTTTGACAGGTTAAAAACATCGCCATGGAGATTTTGGATTTCTATGACAGCCACAAAATCATTACTGATGAAAGGGTGCTAGCTGCGATGATGAAATTAAATAAATAATTGTTAGGATATTTAAAATAATGAGTCCTCTGTATTATCCATGTCGCGGAAGTTATGAAGTCTGACGTGAAAAAAATTAATTGCTGCTGCTGCCGCTGGTCATTTATAGAAGATGGAAGAATAGGTGAATCTTGCGGCATCCAAATTTCAGCAGGGTCAAATTTGATCTGATGCATATGAAGACTGAAACCTAAGGATACTTACTGAGGACTGAAATGCTTCAAATGGATGATGGCAATATCGAAGTATATAGCTGTTGTCCCATTTGACAGAGAGCTGGCTGAAAAGCCCTTTTCTTGGGTACTCAAGGAACCCACCTTAACATTTTGATCAGGCTTGAAGCATATCGTGCACCAAATTTCTTTTCTTGTCTAATTTGTAATAAAATTACATCTATCTCCTTTGAAATTTTCTCTTGTTTTCTTCCCATTCTATATGATGCTGAGAGGTCCCGAGTTCAATTCTCGGAATGCCATTTATACAATAATAAGGTCATAACAGCGGAACACAAAGATTACATGAACAGATTTTACGTCTTTCTGAACCATAATGTATGATGATAGTTGGCAAACTACTTTATTCATGTGGAATAGTTGCTTGTAATCTTGGTACGATTGTTCTCGCTTTGAATTTTTTCTACTTTATTTCATGTGAAATAGTTGGCAAAATTACAGTGTTTTTGACCAAGGAGTAAAGAGACGCCCAATCAATCATCTCTTTGTGGGTTGGATTGGGGAGGACTACCAAAATATACATCTCCACTTGATCACAACCTCATACCATCCACTTAATGCTAAGCTTAGCCCACTTAGTGCTAGTAAAGTCTAATTTTTTACGATTTTACTCTTATTTGAACAAGTATAAAAATTAAATCTCTTTTTATTGTTTTAAAATGTACAACCTTCTAATCTTCATTAATATTTAACTTTTTAAGTATTTCTTTAAAGAAGTGGCAAATCGTCCCACGAAAGAAGGAAAAATCTTGCCGCCGCTATATTCATCATATTTGAAAAAAATATATATATACATATAAAAAAAAAGAGTAAAGATCACACCTTCACTAGGCTAACGACCAGCAGCGGACAGCCCGACGGTGACCCACACAGAGAGAACGGGCGGCCAGTCGACCGCTCGCTTGGTTAACGCGGGCGGCTGATTGGTCGCGCGCCCTCTGTGCACAACTCACCGTCGGGTTGCCCGCGGTCGGTAGGCGCGGTGCTGCCGGCCGTTCGCGCAGTGAAAGCGTGGCCTTCACTCTTTTTAAATTTTTTTTTCCCAAATCTAATGTAATTATTTGTTTTATGTTCACTTTGTTTTAAAAAATAGATGTTATGTAATTATTTATTTTATTTATGCGGTTAACTTTTTTTTACTTGATGTAATGTGTAATTTTTTTTGGTTGATTTTTTTGATATTAATTAATAGAATAATTTTTTTGGTTAAGGTAAAGTTAATTTAGGCTAAGTTAAATATTCATTTTTATTTAGGTAAGGTTAATTTTTTTAATATTAATTTAGTTTGTTTAATGTTATCTAATTATTAGTTAGTAAGTAAAATATACGCTAAAACTATACAAATTAATTTTAATAATTATTGAATTTAATAATTATTAGTTTGTTTAATGTCAATTTTATTATTTTTTAATTCAAAACTTAGGCAATTTATAGCGTGCACTGTGTTCACCAAGAATGGTGCTATGATTTTCCTGTTTGTAAAACACGCAAGAAAAAAGTGAATGAATTTTCATAACTTGTTTTAAATTCTTTCACGCGCGGCTGATCCAAGTCAATCAATTCCTTAATTGATTTAATTTTTCCATTTTTTTCTCCCAAAAATAAATTATTTCTATAATTAACTGATTTCTCTCCTTTCTCTCTCCAAATCAACCGTGTAAATTAACTCTAATTTAAAAGTTTCCGTAACAAAACTTAATATGAATATTGGGCTTCATACTTATGAAAATTTTGACCAATCATCATGAAAATGTATAAGTATGATGAATACTTTTACAAAACATCACGAACATTATGATATGTTATCTTGAATATATGTGTTATTATGAATATATGGGTAATGAAAATATGAAAAATATTATCGGCAATCATGAATTTCTCACCTTTAGGGTTTGAACAATAGTATATCTATGTAAATTCATATTTTTATTTTTATGCATAATATGAATAATGTGTAAATTTTTTATGAGTATTGTATTCTATAGTTATGAACAATTAATATTTCTATGTATTGTATGAACAATGTATAAATTTGTTATGAACATTGTAATCTATGGTTATGAACAATTATTATTTCTTTTTTAGTATCAACAATGTGTAAATTTATTAAGAACATTGTAACTTATGGTTATGAACATTGCATATTTATAAGATAATATTTAAAATTTGTGTTTTTTTGAATGGTGAACATTGTCAAAATCATCATAAATTATGTTTAAGATGAGTATGAATATGATATTTTTATATAAAGAATGAAAATGTATAAATATTAGAATGAAAATCCAGCAATAAAATAATGGACTTTTTTTTACAAAAAGAAATGAATCACGATAGATATTAAAAATTCAATTAAATTATATGAATAAATCACGGAGAGATATTTTATTTTTATTGAAAAAAATAGAGGAAATAGAGTTTTATCATAAATATGATTCATATTAAAATTTGAACATACACAATTTGTATTTTGAACAAATTAAATCCTAATTTGTAGAGAAGGTTACGGCCATATTGTAGATTTCATTATTTCCAGAATTAATAAAATAAAATAATTAATTATATCAATCAGAAAGTTTCCATTATTAATAAATAAAATAATTAATTATACAAATCAGAAAGAGGGACGCGTATTTATACATGACAAGTGCACCAAATATGGTGAACACCCTTCACCGTATAATAACTCCAAAACTTATGAAATGTTAAAATAATAATTCTTTTATTAATAGTAATGAAAAAGGACAAAATGGTCACAAAGTGGGCTCCTCCTATGATGAAGTGGGCTACATTTAGTTCCTCACTTTTCAACATGTATATATTCTAAGTAATTTTGGATATTGACCGCTAACAGTAGTTGGGCCAATAACTTATATGGATCTAAAACATTAACTCGTAAAACTGTAACTCTGAGAGCCCAATCTGAGCCGAGACAAAAAGTCCAACGACTAATGCAATGATGGTCAAAGGCTCCTAGTCCGGCAGTGCCCCCACCAACACAGAAGGAGAGCAAGACGAAACAACGAAACGAATTGATCAAAATTTGATTTCAGAAGGAACTGAATTCACACAGCCATCCTTCGTGTTTACTGCGTAGATTCAAAAGAACAAATCAACCAGTCATGGCTGCCAACTTCTGGACTTCATCTCACTGGTAATTCAAGTTTGCAAACCTTCATACTATATCGTTCAATTATCATTTTCTTTTTTGCATTCTTTGTTTTCATGACTTTTTCTTGTTTTTGGTTCTTTAGCAAACAGCTACTGGACCCAGAAGAGGTTGATATCGTGCCACCAATCGATAAGGAAAGAGGCATAGGTGTAGAAGACTTTAAGCTCATCAAACTCCACATGGCCAATTGTAAGTCAACGCCTCTCTGCGAGTGCGCTTCTCTTGTTTGCTTCTTCTTTTGACAGAAATTGAGTTCGTAAAATTTAATGGGTTTTTTTTTTTTTTTCTGGTAAGCATTTTTTGCTATATGGGTTTTGTGCGGATAGAAGTTGTTTTTCATTTGTCTTTTGAGTTCCCTCTAGTTGCTGTTCATTTAAGGGTATCATCAACATGCTTTTGAGAACAGAATTTTAGCACGGGATGGGCAGAATTGTGTATCTTGTTCCAATTTTATTGATCCTTTCTGTTTTTCTTTTATTCCTTCAGATATTGCAAAATTAGCTCAGCAGGTAAAAGTTAGGCAAAGGTGAGGTTTAAATATGTATTACTGAACTTTCAGATGCATTTTGTTTTAGGGGGGGAATGTACAGCTGCTTGGAAGTGCATTTTGCTTTAAGGCCCTTTTATTATTCTGCAAGATATTTAGTTTTTTCTTCATCTCGATTGATTTTTTTTATATATTTTTTTCCTCAGAGTTGTGGCTACAGCAATTACATACATGAGACGCGTTTATGTCGGGTAATTTTGCTGAGTACCTAGTGTTCTTACACTTTTACACGGTTGACTTAGTTCAGCTTGTTAAGTATCTCTCACTCACTTTCAAAAATAAAAAGAAGATCTCTCGCTCTAAGTATTGTTCAATTTCAAAGTATCTGTTGATTTGTTGTTTGTTTAATTTCACTTTAACATGTATTTACTGAAGAAACCAAGTTCGTCAGTGTTCTGTGTGGTATATTAGCATGTCACTGGCCCTCTTTCACTAAAGACTTGGAATTGAATATGTAGTCTCCGAAGTCCTAACCGTTTAAAATATCAGCCATGTAAAATGTCTTCTCCTTTTCCTTTCCTTTAGGAGACCTATGACTGAATACGATCCTCGTCTTGTCGCTCCAACTTGCTTGTACCTAGCATCAAAAGCAGAAGAAAGCACTTTTCCAGCCAGACTTCTTGTGTTTTACATCAAGAAATTATGTACGCGCTGCCATTCATTTTTATCTTACACATCCAGGTTTTTCTTTTAGCCTAAATTTAATCAGAAAACCTATTTCATCCACACATGATCTCTTATACTTATCAACTTACGGCAACAAATTTTGATTTGAAGAGTTTGCTCATCTACTTTTGCAGATTCAGATGAGAAGTACAGATATGAAGTTAAAGACATACTCGAAATGGAGATGAAAGTTTTGGAAGCTCTAGATTACTATTTAGTCGTATTCCATCCTTATCGGGCTCTGTCTCAGTAAGTAGTTCTCACCCTACATGAGGAAGTTAATGTTTTGACTACGTAGTCTATGTTCCACTAGTTGTGTGAGATAACTTTATGTTTTTGCTTTCGTTGGTGTAACTTTTAGATCTTATGTAACATTTCTGAACAGCCCAAAATAATGTCATGCTCCCTCAATTCTAAAATATGTGTCGGTAGACAACTTTAGACAGTTTATGAACCCTTAGTTACAATATGTAAATTACATAATTGAACTTAACCTGCTCCATCAAAACAAACAGTTGTCATTAATGCTATTTTCTTTTTCAGGGTAACTTTTGGAAAAAAAAAAGACAAAAATTTGCATTGAAAGTAGAGAACAACCCATATTTCAGAATTTTTCCACTTTCCTTCAAGGAAACTTATTTTAGAAGGGAGTTTGTGGTGATGATTATTACCCAAGGATTATTTTGTGTACAATTTCTTTATCTTTAGTCTTAGCCCCTGTACTTCATCTCTGACAATTCCCTCACCCCTGCCTATAATTTTTTTTCCCAGGTTGCTGCAGGATGCTTGCATGAGTGATACGACTCAATTAACTTGGTAACTTAATAATGGATTTTTTTAAGAACGATCAAGTTTTGTTGCTTACTCATGATATGGAATTGTAGAGCCTGTTTTTCTTTGATGTGCATTTAGAAGTTCTTTCTGCGATTTCCTCTTTCGTGATTATTTGAACAAGTGGATAAAACTAGATATTGTATTGTTGGTGAACGATAAATATTTGTTGCTTGATTTTGTTGTGTAATGATTACCGATTTCATTCTTTCTGTGTGCATTTTGTCTTTCATATATGTCTGGATTTGTTCCAAGATAATATTTGCCGTGGTAGAATGCAGAATATTAGGTATTATGTGGGTTTAATATACTAAACATAGCAGGGGAATTGTGAATGACACCTACAAAATGGATCTGATTCTCATACATCCTCCACATCTCATTGCCCTTGCCTGCATATACATAGCAAGCGTGCTCAAAGATAAAGAAAACACTGCCTGGTTTGAAGAGCTTCAAACTGATATGAATCTGGTAAGCCTAATCATCTGTACTCTTGATTCTCATGTGAATTTATAATCACAGGTGGAATCCCATTTCTCTTTAAACTAACAGGAGAGATTCCTTCCCTACTCTAAGGTGCATGCTATTCCCTGAGAGTCATGTTTATTAGAGCATTTGAGCCTTTTTCAAGATATGTTATACTTGTAAATTCATCAGTTCTTGGTTAGGATGAATTTGATTGCTTTTGAAAGTAGAGAGTAAGTCCCACTGCTATTTTTCTTGAAGTTTCAACAGTGCCCTATAGTATTGTTGCAAGGGGCCCCTTGTTTCGTTCTCATGCCTATAAAGTATTGAAAAGTGAAGATCACGTGGTCAGAGCTATGAATTATTCTCTAGATTGTTGAATAAAATAAATTAAGAGTTTTGGCTGGCTGCGATAGTTGTGAGCATGTCTCCTTTGACTATGCAAGTGATTCTTTGTCTTAAGTTGGACTGAATTTTTATTCTACTTTAATTGTGATTCATGGTTGCTTGAGTCTTCACAGGTTAAAAACATCGCCATGGAGATATTGGATTTCTATGACGGCCACAAAATGATTACTGATGAGAGGGTGAATGCTGCCATGATGAAATTGAGTAAATAAGTGTTTGAAGTCAAACAGAAAGGTTCGAGTTATCTGTATTCTCAAACTGAGACAGTGCAATGTGCAGCTCTTGCACCCGAGGAATTCGGCGGAATCGGGTTCATGGTGATGTATATGAAGGTTGAAACCTGAAAATATGGATGATTGAGCTGCTTCACATGGATGACAGTGATGTTTAAGTTAATGGAATCATGCATATTTGTATAGTTGTATTTGGCAGTAACGAGGATTGACAGATGAATTTTACCCTAAGTGCCATTGTTGTCTAGTTGCAGTCGTTTTTAAAGTAAAATATGTGCCATCATTGATGAATGTTGTATTTTGGTCACCGGTGTCCCCAAACATTATATGCTAGTAGAGGCGCCAGAAAAGTCATTTCCGTTTCACCAAAACAATGAAGTAGCAGAACTTCAATAGAGTATAATCTCAAACAGTTTACAGATTTGAACTCCCATCTACTGAAATGGAAATAGAAAGGAACTGCAACCCTAAAAGTTTTACCTCCCGACTAAGTACTGAATGCTCAAAATACCAAAACTTGCAAATGATGAACTGTCAAATGAGTCTTCGAGCCTGCGGCGTACGATTAGTCATATTTCAAAACAGATTTCAGGCTGACGACTCCTGATGAGGCTGGTAGATTACTCAGAACTCCCGTTCAGATGGCAACTTCGCAATGGCTCGCTAGTGTTCCAATCCGCCATTGATGAGGCTGATCATTGCTCAATCCGATTCTTCCCCCTTTTCTTGGCCTGCTTCTTAGCTGCATATGATTGGTAACATATTCATTTCAACCTTCATCATAATTAAAAATCTCCTGAAAATCATAAGAAAAAAAAGAGGCAATGAGTTTTAAAATTGCTACCGAGTCTTCTCTTAGCTTCAGATTTTGCAAAGAATTCCCTCCATTCATCAGTCAGGACAAAAACCAGGTCCTCATCCTCTTCGCCTAGCTGTTCTCCCACTTCTTCCAATTCAACAGTATGCTCATCTGGCATTGCCCTTCAGACCAACCATACATATTGGAGAAAATAAAACAATCAGAAACAGGGAACCACAAGAACAAGATAAATTTTGTTTCGGAACAAGACTCTGCAAAAAGAACCCTCTTCTGAATAAATATTGGCGAATAATAAACGCAATTAGATCAAGCAATTGTGTGATGTTGGCTAATTTGGTTCAAAATGATCAATTTTGATAGCACCCAATTGTACAAACTAAAACATCTAAGCTTGCCCCCCAAAAAAAAAAAACAAAAAAACCAAGTACATATAACGCTTCAAAGAGAAAATTAACGAAAAAGCACTTACAAAGAACCATCGGAGATATTTTGCTGGGTTTCGAAAACCTGTAAATCCAAAGGGTTATTTATCGAGTAGGGAACGGAAGCAAGGGTTTCAGGGTTTTGAGATTGGGGGGGATAATACGAAGAAGCAAAAATAGGGCAAGACGGTGAATGGTTTTGGAGATGAAGCATATGGTTATGGATAGGACAATTGGGAGATACGTGAAAATGATGGTGGTGGTGGTGATGAGGAACAGAGTTGTGGTGGTGGTGATGGTGAAAATGGTTGAATCCGCCTTGGCTGGGCGGCATTACTGGAGGAAGTCTTTGCCCGGCTGAAGAATCCATTGAAGGGCTAAATGAATCGAAATTTGAAATCACCTAATTGGGCTAGAAGGAATTGATTTGAATCGAGGATTCAATCAAAAGTTTCGATTAATTGGTAGATTTGAATCTGACACTCAACAGAAGAAGAAGCTGTTTGAGGCGGAGCTAGTAACAGCGGCAAGTTCTCTGAGTCGCCACCAACAATTGTGTTTATGATTATTATTATTATTATTTGAATTTTCTTTTTGTTTAGGGTGGCGCCAATTTTTATTTTTTTTTTTGTTTGTTTTGGTTATCATTTATTTCTGTGTAATTTTAACAATTTTCTGGTACAATTAATTAATACTACATACTTTCTTCCTAAAATTATTGTCCCGTTTGAGATTCAATTTTAGTACAATTTGAACTAAAAAAAAAAAATCTAAAGTGGACAATAATTTTGGAACAGAGTAAGTACATACTAATTATTAAGAATCCAACGCTAAATTAATAACCGAACGTGATGTAAGACTTTCGATATTGTCATTATTTTTGGATGTAATCATTATTTATAGGGAGTAATTAATAAAATTATTTTAGACTTACCTACTATAATTGTAAAATACATTTGAGAGGCATGAGATCTACAGAACTGATAATTGATGCTACAATTAGTGAATTACAATAAAAATTCATTAAATTGATCTATTAATCTATCTATATTCTATATATCCTATTATGGAAAAACCCAAGAGCATTCCAAAAGCTGACTTGGCAAGTTTTCTTACACCCAATTCCCGCCTAAATCACTTCTCATAGTAAATATTAAAGGGTAACTAAATTACTTTATCTATAAATAGTAAAGGCGAAATAAATTTCTACATTTATTAACAAACCCCATTAATTGTTTCTACAAATCAACTTACCAAAATATCCACGATCAAATCACTTCCCATAATAAATGGTAAAGGGAAACTAAATTACTATATCTATTAACAAACTCCTACGGTAATTCCGGATTAATTGCTTCTACAAAACAACTAACCAAAATATCCACGATCTCTCCTTAACCATCAACCCATGATCTTCTTTAAAATCCAAATCCCAAACCAACAAAAAAAAAACAAAAAAAAAAATCCCAAACCAGCGAAGGGTCTTTTTTGGCCGGAGAACACGATGATGATCACAATTCATTGTTTTTCAGCTCACCCTCAATTTGAAGTTCCCAACCCACGACCGATTCTATGAATCGCCAAAACGGAAGCACGATTCATCATTTTATCCATCAAAAATGAAATTTACGAACGTGGTCAGTTTTTGGATCTCAGTTGATGAGAAAGATGGAGGCTTCTCTATAAATACAAGCCCGCCCCTTTTGTCAAACACTTCATCTACATCATCATATAAGCAATTCCAGCAAAAAAAACATGAATCCAGTCCGAGCTATGACGGGCGACAGGTTTTTTATTGATGATATCACATCACATGAGAATAATGAAGCTCTACTTGTGCGAATTATGAGTATTTGGAAGCAGCCCAACAAGTACAATCCTTCTGAAACAACTTCAATCGAAATGGTTCTGGTGGATTCGAAGGTATTTATCACTCATTTAGCTTTTGCAAATCAGTGGCACAAAGATTTTTTTCCTGACGTTTTTTTTTGGGGGGGAGGGTTATTTTTCTGGGTATAAAGTTTTCAGAGTTTTTTCAATCGAAAAAATTCACAATTTCAAAAGACCATTCTAATCGCTTCAACGGAATCTATAATTTGTAGGGGTCAACAATCGAGGCACAAGCCAAGAAACAGAGTATGGGAAAGTTTGAGACGATTCTTCGGGAAGGAGATACTAAACTCATATCAAATTATGGTGTTATTATGAATTACGATTTCTGGAAAGCTTCTAAACACAGTTGGAAAATATAACTATATAGGAGTACTCATGTTAAGTCGGCAGATCCTTTCGACATCTTACCCTACCCAGTGTTCAACTTTGAACCTTTTGAAATTATCAAAGAGGGCAAAAACGATCCAGATTTCTTAGTTGGTACATAATCACTTTCATCTATTTCATCTCAATTTAAATGGTAGCTGCCATCGTGTTTTAAATTTCCATCTGCCACTGTTGCTACTTGTAATTTTGCTGTTTCAGGTATAATACTGGGGGTATAATAGTTAAACTTTTTCATCTGCTTCAATTGAGTAATTTTCTTTCATGTTTTTTCTCTGTGTGATGGGATCATAGATTAGTTATTCTCTGTCTGATCTTTTATTGATGCAATTTGACAAAGACAAAATCTTAAATTTTTTATAGAATGTTGAATTTCGGGTACTTTGCTTTACTGCTATTGACTTCTCAAGATATGTATAATTGTAAATGAGTTCATATCACATTAATTTACAATCGTTGCATTCTATTTATACCTTTTATTTTCCTCTTTCACAATAGTGAGCTTAAATGGCTTAGCTAAAAATGCAGGAATATGATTATGTTTCCATGGATCATGGTTTCTAAAGTTTTCTTTGTTTGTAACCACTTTCATCTCAATGTTTATTTTAAATTCTTCAATTAGAAGGGTGTTATTATGTCTAATGTACATCAAATTCTCTTAATTCTCATATGCGAGGTTAAAGATGATAAGGAACAAAAGAAGTTGCTGGTCGAACTTGAAGATTTAGAGTACGTTGGTTTACCTTTTAATTTGTTTCTGCATATTTGTCAATCCATTACACAATGTTAATGCTGTGATGTTTCAAATTCAATAGGAATGAGAAAATTAAGGTACTCCTATGGGACACCCATGCTCAACAAGTTCTAGACTACTTGGGACCTGAAAATAAAACCGATGTGGTACTCATTGTCCAGTTTGTGAAATGTGGTACATGGAATGGTATTATTATTATTCTTTAAAATCAAATTCATAATACTTTCATCATTATGACTTAGATGTACTTTGTTTAACAACCTGTTAAATTGGCAGGTCAATTGTCCATCACCACCTCAAAACTTAATGGCAAAATCTATCTCGACAATGATATGGATATAATTCGAGATTTCAAACTCAGGTATAATATGATGTATCAACGTTTCGAACTGTTCATTGTTTTCATGAAGGTTTCTTATGTTTGATAATATCTCCTTAATTTTATAATTTATGTAAATAGGATGGATAATGTTAATAACCAACATGACACTGGAAAGTCATTGTCCCTACTATCCACAATGACATCCTATGGAACTCTTGAGTCCTTCATGAAAGATGCTGAATTGATTACTGTTGATGGCATCAAGAATGTTGGGGAGGTCAGAATATTCTTCATATACACTTTTAACTACATATTTCCTTTATGTTTATTGATTACTTTTTCAACTGTTGAAACCAGGCTTGTCATTGTGTTACTGTGGGTAAAATTGTTGACATAATTCAAGATGATGATTGTTTCTATGTTGCTTACAAGAAGTGCAATAGAAAGGTTGATTTTGATGTCATAAAATCTGATGGTCCTATAGCGGATGGCCAATTTTCTACTGGACAGTTTAACTGTCCTCGCTGTCCGACCAACAAAATTGTAGCTTTTCCAAGGTACTATCTATTTAATTAAATTAAGTTTTAAACTTTCTATTTGGCTAAACGTCTTTTGTCTATCGTGGATCTGCAATACATATAAATTTTCAGATTCAAAGTTCAAATCATTGTTGTTGATTCAACTGGAATTATGATTGTAACAATCTTTGATAAAGATATGTTTCGCCTCATTGGAAAAAGTGCCTATCAGTTGAGAGAAAAGGTTAGTTATTTCCATTTTTTATTCAGATTCTTTTCTGTTTTTATTACAACTATCATTAATACCTTTGCTGCTTACATTAATTTTAATTCTAAATTTGTTTGACAGTATGGGAATGTAGAAACATTTCCTCCTGAGGTGATGAGCCTGATTGGCAAAACCCTACTATTCAGGGTTTCTGTCAACAAGTTCAATGTGGTGCATAATTCCCACATGTATACTGCAGTGCGTGTTGTTGATGATGAAAAATGGCTAAAGAAGTACAAGACAATTACCAACCCTAAACAGGTTCTAACCTTTTCAAAACTTATCACTTTATATGTACTATCTTTTGATACGATAAATGAGTTACAAATCTTCTGTAAAGGACCTATTTTTTGGATTGGTTATGTTTAGTAAAGTGATTTTAGATATTGGAATGTCATGAATTGTGTCCATGTATTTTCATAATTGTTGTAACAATTATCAACTATAGGGAACTATCTCTTCCAATGATGGAGAGGTCCTAGGCTCTCAACCAGATCCAAACATGGCAAATAGTCCACTTGTTCGTACCAGCCTGGTTGATGATAAAGAAAATGATCCAGATGTCAACAAAAAGGTGGTCAATGATGAACAATATAGCACACCAGAGAAATTTGTGGCTCATGATGAAGAAGACAATCCACAAGCCAAGGAAAATGAGGTTGATATTCAAGAACTTGGAGCACCAAGTGTGGCGTCAACTTTGCCGAAGAGAAAGAGTGTTATGAAGACAGAGAAAGTGTTCAAGAGAAAGTCTGCAGTGTAGCTGATCACCAAATCCACCACTTTTCCAATGCATTCTGCAAGTTTAAGCTTTTTTTTCATAGTTCATTAAGGATGTTTCTATGTTTCTGTATTTTTGTTTCAGACAAGGTTTGATATTTGTTTTCTTAAAGACTATTTCCGTTAGTATCATGAAGATTTAGTCATTCGTATGATAGCAGCTATGTTTTTTTTTCTTCCTCTCCTCAGTGGATTTGTTTAATCAATGAAAAAAGAGACGTTTCTCTAATGATTTTGCGTTTTTTTTTTTTGGTCCTTTGATGCTATGACAATCCAGAAAATTAGTTTAGCATTTTTGACAAAATATTGTAGTAGCTATGTCAACTTCGGTGAAATAGCATTAGGTTCAAAATCAGGGCCTAGCCTAAGGTGTTTCCAGTCATGCTTCCCATAGTCAAAATGTATTAGTCATTCTAAGTAGGTGACAATAGTCTTCATAGTGTGTTGCTCCGGGCCAAAGAAAACAATCCCCTTAGATCTACTAAAACAATACAGTAATTTTAATTTTTGTACTTGGAGATTAATTTGTTAAAACAGGTTTATTCGAGGAACTACATTTGTTCAGTAAAAATATATAGCTTGAGGAAACTATAAATTGAATATCCACTTTCAAACTAAGAAGTATGTTTGGAGTTTAGACAATTTTGCATTTGTTTTTTGAAACCAATATATTCAAATTGTAACCGGATATAGGAACTCAAGAAATTGACATTAGGAGTGCTTATCTTCTTCAACTCTACATATCAAACATGAAGTTAATATTTTCTCAAAGATTAACTTAACTCCAAATGCATGTATGCTCATGATTTTGAATTGAAAAATAATAATAATAAATGCGTGAATGAAGCCTTCCATTACATTTTCAGTTTCCAAACAAGCATGCAGTTCCGAATTGGGAGAAAACCACTCCCCACGTTTGCATGTTTCATCAAAATTCAAATTTTAATTTGTAACTCAACACAAATTACATATTGTTGTATAAAGATACAAAACCAATATTTTTACAGAACTCCATATACAGTTGTTAACTTCTTCATCTACAATGGATGCAGAAATTGCTGCCAAAGCAAGAATGAGACGGAAAAAAATATTGGATGTAAAGAGATGTAAGGACAAACAATCTCGGAATGACGAGAACTCAACACCAAACGAATCCAGCATAATCCCGTCGCAAAGAACCTTTGGTGGCTTCTTCTTTGTCAATCAGACCAAAAGTCCAAGTTACCGGCAACGAAGTTTCCATGAAGCTTTCGACACTTCCTTTGATAAAACACGTACCCACTGCAAGACTAACGATGAAAGATCAGCAATGAATGATATTACGAATGGTACGACTCTTTTCAATAACTACTAATTCCATAAGCACTTCTTGCTACTTTCAAATGCATCATGTCTACATTACATACTCCTTTTTTGTATTCAGATTCTATTGCTCCAAATGTAACAACACTCACAGTACCAGAAGAAAGAAAAAATGGAACATCTCAGAAAAGCAAGAGCACAGTATTATCAGACCCAAAAAGTTCCAAAAAATTGAAAAGAACTACTTACTCGGCAGGTAAAATGTCACATTCACATAAGTTTCATAAACATTCTAATGACTTTTCCATGTGAATATATATGAGTTTGAAACAATTTGCAGCACATTCAACAGCAAAATTTGATACCAACGCAACTCCCATTATGGCTACCGCTTCCACATTTGAAACTGGGGAGAGCAGTAATAAGGGAAAAACTCAAAAAAAAAAAAAATCCAAAAAATCAAGATTCTCAGCCTCATTTTGTACCCAACCATTGAAAATCACTACTACATCATCAGGTGAAAATACTCAACTTTAATTGTTCATATTCAAATTGAAAACTTTTTTTTTGTCGGTAAGTGATACTAACTTTTACAAATCATTGTGCGTGAAATTTAAAAAGCACAACCACCACACCTTTCAAAAGTAAACTCTCATATGGTGACAACTGCAACAGCTGCACTACCTTCCACATTTGAGATTGGAGAGAGCAGCAAGTCTTTTAAGTCCTGGAAGATACAAGATAAAAGGCAAATCAATCACTTTTACTCCACCAAAACTTATTGCAGAAGACGGTGTCACAAAATCAAAAGGTGATGAATACTGGATTTAACTTATTGAATATTAATCTTTTCACATAACTTAACATAAATAGGAATTCTTTTAGATTATTGGGATGTTGGTGATCCCATCCACACATGTGAGTATTGTGGTGCAAAAATGTGGTATAAGGAAAGATGCAGAAGTGACCGACGTTCAAAGAACCCAAAAATTTCACTCTGCTGCATGAAAGGGAAAGTGCACCTTCCATTACTGAAAGATCCACCTGCAGAATTGAAGGAGCTATACATGTCCGAAACTGCCACAAGCAAAAAATTTCGCGACAACATTCGAGCTTATAATTCTATGTTTTCTTTCACATCTATGGGTGGCAAGGTTCTCACTGAGGTGAATAAAACTCGCGGTCCATTTGTGTTCCAGATACATGGCGAGAACTGTCATCGAATGGGCAGCCTACTACCAGTATCAGATAAACCAAAATTCTTACAGTTATATATTTATGATACAACAAACGAAATCAGTAATAGAATGGGTGTTATGAGGTAATCTCCTTCGACACTAAATTACCCTGTAGTTAAGGCAATTTTATTACAATTTAATTACAACTTTTCTTATGATTTAATATTCAGCTCCCGGTTTCTGAATCTCGATCAAACCCATTGGATCCTAGTATTGTGGATGTATTGAAATAGATGATGGATGATCACAATGTTTTGGCAAAATGCTTCAGAAAAGTGAGGGATACATACCAATCTAATGTCCAATCAGAGGTGAAATTAAGACTTATTGGGAGGTGGGATAAAGATGCGAGGACTCATAATCTTCCCACAGCCGATGAAGTTGCTGCAATCATAATTGGAGATTCCGGTGATGAAATTGAACCGAGAGATATTGTCATAAAATATAAGAGTGGACAGCTGCAGCTTATAGATGAATTACATCCTTCTTATGTGCCACTTCAATACCCTCTGTTGTTTCCTTATGGTGAAGATGGGTTCAGATTAAATGTATCACTTGGAGATCCGGAAAATGACCATGATAGTGATACTGAATATGGTGACCCAAATGGGAAGGAAGAAGGTGAGGTTCATGTTGATGGTAATGTTAGTTCTAATAAGAGAAAAAGAAAAATGAGCATGAGAGAATGATTTGCCTTCCGGTTACAGGGGAGAGATAATGAATGCTCATTGCTTCTACTTGCAAGAAAACTTTTCCAACAGTTTTTGGTGGATGGCTACAGCACCGTTGAGTCAGGCAGACTTTTTTACATAAAGCAGAATCAAGCAAATCTTCAATGTGAATCGTTTGAGAATATGACTAAATCAAGAGAGAATGGGGCTGATAAAACATTTGAAGTGGGCCAAAGAATTATAGTACCATCTTCTTTCATTGGTGGTCCTAGATATATGGAACAAGACTACAAAGATGCGATGGCTTTGTGCAAGTTCTTTGGATTTCCAGATTTATTCATTACCATCACATGCAATCCTAAGTAGCCAGAAATTGTGAGGTTTTGCACATCAAAGGGCTTAAAGACCGAGGACAGACCCGATATTACAGTCAGAATTTTCAAGATGAAAGTTGATGAAATAATAAATGAGATTAAGGCGAAGGAAATTTTCGGACGCGTTGATGCATGTACATATACTTTTTTCTCATGATACTTGATAGTATGCAATGATATTTTATTTTCTTATATATATTTATTTTAATTATTGCAGTAGTGTACATAATTGAGTACCAGAAAAGAGGTTTACCTCATTCCCATATTTGTGTATTTCTGCATAAAGATGACAAGTTGAAAACAGTTGATCAGATTGATAAATTTATAAGCACTGAGATTCCAGACAAGGAAGAAGACCCAGAGTTATATAGGCTTGTCCGTGATCACATGATTCACGGTCCTTGCGGTGAAGCTGATCCCAACTGCGTCTGCATGATAAATGGAAAATGTTCAAAGAAGTTTCCTAAAAAATTCAACGAAAAAACTACCATTGATGAGGAAGGATATGCTGTCTATGCAAGGCCTAACAATGGGAGATTTGTTGAAAAAAGAGGAGTTGGATTGGATAATCGCTGGGTTATTGGATACAATGCCTACTTGTTGAAATGGGGCGAATGTCACATCCACGTTGCATGGTGCAATCAGTGCAAGTCCATCAAGTATTTATTCAAATACATGAATAAAGGGTCTGATAGAATATCCTTTCAATTTATTCATGACGGTGCTGAATCCGCTGTAGATCAAAATGACCTTCGAATTGATGAAGTTCGGAAATTAAAGATGGCAGATATCTTTCTGCATGTGAGGCTGCATGGAGAATTTTTAAATTTGAAATCCATTATAGGACTCCAGCTGTTGAAAGACTATCTTTCTATCTACCAGATCAACAACCAATTTATTTTGATGAGGAAGAAGCTTTATCAGATGTTATTAACAAGGCATCATGTTCAAAATCTCAATTCATTGAATGGATGGAATGCAACAAAAACTATGAGGAAGCAAGGCAGATAACCTATGTTCAATTTCCAACTAAGTTTGTTTGGAACAAAAAAAAGAAAATATGGACTCCAAGAAAAAAAAGAAAAACTATTGCAAGAATACACCCTGTGCCTCCGTCATGTGGTGAAAGATATTTTATGAGGATTTTATTAAACAAAGTTAGAGGCCCTACATGTTTTGAAGACATTCGCACAGTTGATGGTGTGGAGTATGAGACATACAATGAAGCATGCTTCGCAATGGGACTCCTCGATGATGACAAGGAATATATTGATTGCATTAATGAAGCAGCATTTTGGGGAACAAGTCGTTATTTGAGATCACTTTTTGCTCTAATGTTAGTGACTGATAGCTTGACTAAACCTGAGGAGATGTGGGAAGCAACTTGGGAGGCATTAA